ATTTCTCTTTTTTTTCTTCTCCCTCTTTCTTACTTTTTCATGTCTTTTTCACTTTTATGCATACCTATCTTAATTATTTTGCAATTATTATTTCGTACTCGTAGAATATAGAATAGTGAAGTAAGATATTGAAGTACTCATCAACTGTAATGAAACATATTTTCTTTTGTTTCATTCTGTAAGAAGCTATATTGAAGCTATGTGGAGAATGTCTGTTAAAATAATGGAAGGACAATATACTTATTTAAATTATCGATTTTTCCGGATTAATCCATTAATATATATTTTCAAATTAAGAAAGTTAATTTTTTTTTAAACATTAATGAATGTTTAATTTATTATATAATATTCTTGAGTGCAACACACAAAATGAATATATAGTACCAATTTAACAGTTTTCTCTATTCTTTATTCTATTTTTTTAGCTCTGCTAATTTATACATTTCATTCTCAACTTATTTTAATTGAACTACTTTAGTTGATTATCTAAATAATTCTAAAGTAGTGAAAATGTTGAATGACTCTGAATGTTATTTTCGATTAAACAATAATATTCGCGGGGAAAAGGTTTGTATACGTTTCTTACCGTAGCAGCACTTTCCATAGACGCAATGAATATTCCACCGAGGATCAAATGAAAAGCTTTTGTACCATTTTGCAGTAGAAATAACATCATTTTCTGTATGTGTAACGGAGCCACGTACCATTCAACATTATATCTACAAAACAATGATAAATTAATGTAAAACCTAACATGAAGAAATAAAAATATTTGTTATAGTATGTTCGTCCAAGGAATAGTATTATTTTCGCGAATATAATATTTTTGTTAACTCAGACTTTTGTTACAAGAATTTATAAAACAATTACTTAAGTATGAACGTACGATGCAAACGTCTCTTACATTGTAGCAAATACGTATTCATTGTGATCTGTAATATCTTGTGCGATATAATTGGATAAAAACATGTACACGTAAAGGATACTTATGCACATAAGTGATAATACAAATTGCTCTATGCTATTGTGTGATATGATCTAAAAAATATAAAAAATATGTTATGTGTATTTTAGTTTTTTATATGCAAGAAATTTGTAATTTTTCTGTAATTCCTTAAGACAAGTATAGAGCTTGCATTACGTATTAAATTATTTTCTTTATTGTGTGCGTATATACGTATTAGAAAACTATTATTTAGGATTCACGCCAATAATGCACATAGCTTATGATTATAGAAAAAGGTGAACGAAGAATAATGAGTTTTTGAATGGTTTTATTTTTAAAGATAATTGTTTTCCCATACTGTTCTAATTAAAGATTCTTTATTCAATCTTAATATTATGAAAAATATCTCTCATGGAAAGATACGTTTAATAGCAAAAAATAAAACTTACTTGAACAAGAGTGCTGGTTAAGCAAACCATACCAGCCCCTATTAAACAGAAGAAAGATCCCTCAAAGTTCTTTATAAAAACTTGAGAAAACCTTCAGAAATAAAAGGAATATTAGTAGAGCACGTTATACAGATATTGTAGAATATAATACTGACTCTGTAGCTTTGCGATGAATATCTATCGCACAGATTATTCTTTTATAAATTATGACCATTTTTTCTTCATTAACATTTTGTTGCATATTAATTGCCATTGCCTTCTTAATACGGAAACTATATGAATACATATTTTTTTCTGTAAGTACTTAATTTTTCTAGATCTGATCGAGTAAACAAACTAATGAACAGATTTCACTTATAAAACAAATGCTTATATTGAGTTTTACCTCGCAATGCTGAACATTCCACAAATATGTTTTAAGTATGCTATCAGCATCGCGCCTGTTGCTGCCATTGCAGTTGTCCCTATGCACAAGGCTGCGTTTGTATGCAAAAGAATTAAGTAGAAACAGTTTTCTTGATCAACAAAATATTCTGTTGCAATATGAATTGCTGCAGAGCGTGATCGGGAATTGTTTATAGCCATAATTACATCAAATATAGGAGGCCATATTGACAGCAAGAGAAAAGTAGATATGTTACATGCAGCCATTACTAACATTAAATTAGAAAGTATATGATATATATATAAGTATCAAGAATTTATTTAAGTAAAATTTATTTAAGCGTTATAAATTTTTCACTGTTATTAATAATTCATTAAAATATATAAGCATATATATGTATATATTATCTTACTTATAATTACAATCGTTTGATGTTTCCCTATACGACCATACTTTTCTATGATAGCGATTTCGTTTTTATTTTTGATTTCGTTGCAAACATGCTGAAGTTGTTCCAGCGAAACTCTCATCTATTACATCAATAATATTTTATGCAGTTTTCGTATAAAATATTTAAAAATTGTCACATTTGAAGATTTATTTATCACGAATGTTTGTCTAGAGACTGTAGTAAATATTTGACTTACAGTATTGGCGTTAATCCAAAACGAATTATATTTAATCGCAAAGCAAATGAAGAAAAATGCGGAAGACAGAACATTGATAATGAAATCTGTAGTGCATTTTGAAGTCAAAAACGTCGTAAACTGCAAATAAGTAATTCTGTTGAAAATTATATACATATTAAAAGAATAATTCTTTAGTGTGACTAATAAGATTCGAATTCTACTGTGTTAATTATTCTTTCGTATAAAAAATAACTTATTACGACCTGAAATACAATAAAAGTTGTCAAAGTAGTAAAAAGTACGATGAATTGAATTTGAGCAAGTTTCGATCTCTGGTAAGGCCATAAACCAATCGCGAGCAAAAGAAATCTATTGAGTCTGAAATGTGTGTCAAGGCAAATCATCTTTGTAAACACTAAAGTAAATTTCACCGTGAAAAATAAGAAATTGTCTATTTTCTTTTTTCGATTCTATTAAACTAACAGCTGATTGAATATTTCACTTCTCCTCTTTTAGTAAATTTCAACTTCAATTGCTTGATATGCCAGCATGCAAAGCGAAATACAATGTCACGAAATTAGAGTACTTACAGTTCAACACTGTTTTATAAGAAAAACGTATGATTAAACGATCGATTTAATATTGAAAGAAATTTAACAGGTGTTTATATCCCATGGAAAAATATTCGCATAGAGAAACTCGATAGAGGACCACGCAAGCGCACTCATCACTTTCCATTGTAATATGCGTTTCATTCTTGTGCGTACACTCACAAGGTACGTTTGATCTTTTAGAGTAGAGTCGGTCATTAAATTTAATCTTAAGTATCAACAAAATGAATTTATTGTTAAAGTACTGAAGTCTATATCTCATTAATATCTTATGTAACACTTTATATTAGAACTGTTTATATTTTATATATACATTTCTATAACATTATCCACAATGGTATTTTAAATAAAAGTTTCTGTTATTTATATAAATATGGAGTAATTTGTGAAACCTTTATTTGAATACATATTGGAAATATATAATATTAAAAATTAAATAATGTATTAGTTACGCATTATATAAGAAGGAAAGACGAAGCTGAAGCTGGCAGCTAGACTTAACAGCCAGAACGCGGCAGGGGCGAATAAGGTGCTGGGGCCCCAAAGATTAAAAATAAATAAAATGCATTAAAAACTCATTGCAAGTAAGTCATACATTTCAGATGATACAAAATAGGTTAACATATATAAAATTTATAATAATCTGCAAGAAGATGGCTTTTACTAATAATAACAAAATTAAATAAAAAAAAATTTATTTATAAACTATTTAGCAACCATACCGTACGCAAACTCGAATCGACTTGAAAAAAATCACAAATGCTCTCCGGAATGAGTGTAAAACGAAGACACGACGATCTGCCCGATGACGGGCCTCATTGTTTATAAAAAAATTATATAACATTTATAAAGTATTTAGCAGCCAGACCTGCATGTAATAGTACAAACTGATACATCACAGACTAGAAAGCAAAAACAAACGCACAAATAAAGTATTAATAACAATAAAAATTCAACAGCGAATATAAATAAAAGAAAGTAAAAAAAATTTTTTATTCATATAAGATTTAATATTTAAAAATTTTTTAATTCAACACAAAAATTTTTTTAAATAGACAAAAAAAATATAAAATTTCAAAAACAAAAAAAATTAAAAAATTAAAAAAACTAAAAAACGGAACCAGCATCCGTCACGTCCTCGTCGTGGTTCTGGTTAAAACCGAGAGTGGATAAATATCAATGAATTACGTGTGTAAACAAAATTAGTATGATTAGAGTACTCAAACGTCTGTAAATGTTGCTCAGTTTTATTTACTTAACAATTAGACCCGTCCCCGGCCCGATCGACGGTCCGTATCGTTTCATACACTATTTACAGAGTAAATCTGATTTCTGCCAGGTTTCTACGGCTTTGCGTACGGTCTGGCTGCTAAATAGTTTATAAATGAATTTTTTTTTATTTAATTTTGTTATTATCAGTAAAAGCCATCCCTTGCAGATTATTATAAATTTTATATATGTTAACCTATTTGGTATCAACTAAAATGTATGACTTGCTTGCAATGTGTTTTTAATGCATTTTATTTATTTTTAATCGTTGGGGCCACAGCACCCTATTCGCCCCTGGCTGCTTAGTCTGGTTGCCAGCTTCGGCTTCGTGAAGGAAAGTAATCACAAAAAGTATTTCTCTTGCATTTTATTAAAAGCGGAACCATAAAAGATGTTGTTACATGTTACGTAAAGAATGCATTTTCTCAAAACAATTAAAATCTGAGTAACAAAGAATTTAGATTGTATGCAATGTCGTCAACTTTACATTGTATAATTCTTATTTATAATCTATCCCCGATGTGTATGATTTCATTAAAGTAATTTTTTTCCTTCGCGGATTTGATACTTCAGTATATATTACCTGAAGTGCGAAATCAGAATGGTTCCAATATTTCTTCTTTCATCTGCGATGTCCTCTTTCCATCTCGATTTTTTAATATTAAACTCGTTTATTTGGAATCATTTTTTTATTATTAATAATTTATATTCTCAAATCTTCGTAGAATAGAGAACAGTGAAACAGGATATTGAAGTACTTATCAGCTGTTAAAATATATATCGTTTATTTTATTTTGTAATAAATTATAAACATATATTAGAATTTTTCTTAACTAAATAGTTGGGAATTAACAGTTGTGGATATTCAATTTTTTTAATAATCAACATCAATGTTCTAAAGTAAAAAAAATTTATTTTTGATATAATATTTTTAAATGCGACAAAATAGAAAATACTACAATAATTTAACAATTTTCTTCTTTCTCCAATTTACTTTTTTAAGCTTTGTTAGGTTATTAGTTAGCATATTTTATTTAACATAATTATTTTAAGAAAAATTGTTTTTTTCTGTAGTGTATGCGACGTAAAGCATGGTTCTAAATAACGAACATTTCAGATTGATTGTTGATGTTATTTTTTATTAACCCTTTGCACTTCTATATATGTCGAGTAACACTTGATATTTATATCCATTATATTTTCAGAAAAATTCAGAGTGCAAAAGGTTAAACAATATTCTTGGGGATAGGAAATAGAAGATTTTACCATGAACTGTAATATATGTATCTCTAATAAGTATATGTATTTCTTACCGCAGCGGCACTTTCCAAAGACGCTACAAATATTCCACCAAGAATCATATGAAAGGCCTTAGTACCCTTTTGCAATAAAAACAACATCATTTTCTGTATATGTAACGGAGCTACGTACCACTGAACGTTGTATCTACAAAATAATGACAAATTGATAAGAATAAGAATAATTGTAAAAAGATAAAATATATTTGGTAATAATTGTTATAATATAGGCATGTTTGTTCCACGAGTCGTATTAGTTTCTGGTATAATATTTTCAATAATTATTATGAGAATCGATACAAGTGCTCTTACAAAACAATACGATAAAAATATCTCTCTTACACTGTGGCAAATACGTATTCATTATGATCCGTAATTTCTTGTGCAGCATAGGTGGATACGAACAAGTGTAGGTAAAGGATGATTATAATTAAAAGATGTAGTATAAGCTCAACATTATCACGATACGACGCAGCCTAAAAATTATGGATGATTATAATTAAAAGATGTAGTATAATAAGCTCAACATTATCACGATACAACGCAGCCTAAAAGTTGTGATGTGTTTGTTACGCATTTACTATCAACTTCTTCAAATCATATTGTTCTATATTGTTCGTATTATTCTGTTTATATTTATTTGCGTAATAAAATATTTCAATAGATTAGTGTTATGTTACGTAATGATTAATTCTTTTTTTATAATTATAAGACATTGTCTATGTATTATAGTATCATAAGAGATACGTATATCGTAGTCATGACTTAAGCTTATGAGAAAAGATATTGGATAAAATTATTTTCATATATATAAATGTGTTTAATCTATATATATCAATAAGAAAGTATTTACTTAATTCTTTCTATTTCTTTGACACTTTGATAAAATTCTAATATCATGAAATCAAGATTAAATATTAAGGAATTTACCTGAAGAAGATTAAGACTAAGACAAGTTATGCCAATTACTATTAAGAAGAAAAATGATCCCTCAAAGTTTGATATTAAGAAGTCGGTGAACCTTCAAGTATGAGAGAAAATACGTGTTATTATATGTATTAAATATTTCTTATCAGATGTACATTCGATATATTAACATGTACTCTTATCAAATATACATATACTAACTCCATAGCTTTGCGGTGAATATCTACGGCATAAATTATCTTCTTATAAATTTTGCTCTCATTCTTTAGTTCATCTTTTTGTAAAATATTGATTGCCTGTTCGATACGGTAACTGTAAATAATTTTATCCATATAATTAATTCATCTAAATTCGTATTTTAGATGACAAACAAAATATCGTTTATTATTGTATTCCTTCTAGTATTTTATTTATTTACCTGGCGATACTAAACATTCCGCAGATATGTTGAAGATATGCAAGAAGCGTTGTTCCTGTCGCCATCATTGCAATAGTTCCTATGTAAGTAGCTGCTAATGCGTGCAGCATGATTAAGTAAAAATATTTTTCTTGATCAATAAGGTCTGTCATAAGGTTTACTGAAGGATTTAGTTGAGAATTGTTATTAAGCAGAATAAATCGTTGAATATACCTCCAAGTTTGTAAAAAAGTTACAACACTTTTACCGCATATGCCAAACACTGAGAGAAATTTTATAAAGTTATTCATATACATAAATTAAACTTAATTAGTCTTTTAATTAAAAAAATTTTTTTCTATTTAGAAAAGATAGAATATTGTTTCGTTTTAAAAAAAATATATTATTTGTGATTAGATTTTATCTAATTTGAAACATATAAAAGATTCAACTACCATTGTCTTACGTATTATTGCAATTGTATAACATTTCGCCTTGCTTCCATACTTTTTTATAATAGCGATTTCATTTTCATCTTTTAGTTCGTTACATACATCTTGAAGTTGTTCCAATAAACTCCTTACCTGTCGGATCAATGATATTATATTTCTCATTAAAATTTGAAAATGATTATACAATAATAAAATGTTTTCTTCATTAATTTTTCACTATTCTTCATTGATTAGGATCAAATTACCTGTTACTTTCTGTTTTTAGAGATCCTTTCTATATTATAATTAAAAAGTATAAAGGATCAAGCCATGAAGAACTGAAAAAAAATGAAAACAACCAGGTTAACTTGGTCCTAATCGATAAGAATACGAAAAAGAATATAAAAATTTAACAATTTCGTATTTAAAGATTCCATTTATCTGATGTTTGATTGATAAACGTTCTTACGGTATCGGCGTTAATCCAAAACGAATTATATTTGATCGCGAAGCACATTAAAAAAAATGTAGTGGAAAAAACTTTGAGAATATGTTCTGAAGTACATTTTGACGTCAATAATGTTGTAAACTGCAAGAAATATTTTACTGAATTAGCTGCATTAAAAAAGCAACAGTAGTTTATTTAATTAGTAAATTGCTCGCTGTTCGTTGCTGCGCACTATGTATTAGATATATACAATAAGTTAGTAAAAAGGGCAAGTAATTAATATTTCAATTTTTCAATATAATTGTACACGATAGTTTTATTTCAAAAAGATATTATACGTATACGCACTAACACATAGTGGATTAGAACCGGCCTAGGTATTCTACTTTTTTAATTTAAATGAATACGGTTAAGCAGATTTGCGTACTATTTATAATATAAAGTATAAGACAACCTTATAAGACAACGAATATGTGATAGCAGTTTGACAGTTCTCTGTCATAACATTCATAAAATAGAGGCAAATATGTATTTTCAGTCATCGTGCGAAAATTTTTTTAAAAAAGAAAATCTTTGTAAATCATTATTTAAAAGGTGTCAAAAATTTGAAAAGTAATTGATTTCAGATAATTAAAGAGTGTAGAATTCAAAATATCAAGCACTTCGTGATCACTTTTGTGGTTTATTGTAAAATTTGTTCCAAAGTTCGAAAGGACCCGTGTCCAAATCGGACAGTACAGTGAATAACTGATAGGCCTGGTTGTAGTACTGGTGATTGGCTGACTAGATCTGGTCCAAGCAATTAAATCAGTAAAATATCATGAGTCACCAGACTCAGATTAGTTGAGTTTTATTGATTTCAATTCTAATAATATAAACAGTCAGTAATTTCTTTTTCCGAAAAAATTTCTATCTTTGACTGTCAAATTGCTCGTTTATATTCAAATTGCTCGTTTTTATTCAATACTAAGAGAAATACATAAAAATATTTTAAAATTTTATCTAAAAATCCATAAAAATAAGAGTTTTCGAGCTGAACCAGTAGAGTTTTCGATCTGAACCAGGGGATGGTTCGATTTGGAACCGATGGTGAGGGGATGGTCCGATTTGGAATCGATGGTTCCAAATCGGATTGGAAAGAGCGTTTTTACATTTTCCATTATAGTTTAACACTGGTGAGAGATACATCAAAATAATCTCAAGCAATAGTATTCATTATTCAATAACGTATTTTACTTTTACTTTAATAATAAAATTAAAATCTTAACATACTTGAAATATAATAAAAGTCGTCAGAATACCGAATAATAAAAATAACTGAAATTCAACGACGAGCGATCGTTGATAAGGCCACAAACCAACCATAAGCAACAGAATTCGATTGAGGCTAAAATGTCGAGTTTCGAGACAGATCATTTCTTCACGAGCACCAAGATGCATTTAATGGAAAAATAATGATAGACATATATTTATCCCTTTTTTCCTATTCAGTGAGTTAAAACTTTGGAAAATTTTTTTCAATCGGTTTTTTTCAAAAAAAATTTTCATAATTTTTTTTAAACATTGCACCACATTGAACCCTATAACATTTTTTTTGTCGAAATCGGTTCATTCATTAAAAAGAAAATTCGTTTCATCGATTTTCAATTTTACTCCCATAACTTCTATAAAAAATTTTTTTCAGATATAATATTTTGCGAAATTCATTCTTGCATCGCTGATAACTTATGGCAAAAATCTCGACCAGATAAATGCGGGGGCAACATACACATATCTATCCTGCTAGGCTCTTATTATAATTTTATATTTATGTAAAAATTGTTATTGCAATATGTACAGAAAATGTTTTTATGAATTTGTATTTGCTTATAATTGTGAATTCAAGGCTCCTTTAAGGTAGTACTAGCACCAAATGATTTTCTGACGAATGTGCTAAAATTTGACATACAAGTAAGTTGAAGTGCTCTCTATGTTTGTGTGCAATTAGAAATATATTGACCATCTACTTTCTGAGATAATTACAATCCAAGCATGCAGTTTTATGTGAAGTATATATGCAACTCAAGTTAACGTCAGATTTTTAATTATAGCCATTCTTATGATTGTTACAAAAAACGAGCACGTTAAGGAACGTGAAACGGATATTGTAAAAAAGTTATAATTTTTGATTATTTAATTAGGAAAATATAGCTGTTTCGAAAAAACGCAATGTTTCGATTTTCTTTGGCATATAGTGGCAATTGATGGGAGTAGTGGGTACGGCGAACATCTGACAGCATCGGCG